CTCAAACTTTTGTAAGATCCATAGCTTCGTTTAGCGCAACAGGATGACCGCCACTTTTAACGATGCTGAAAAACAGAGCCTCGCAGATCTGGTAGCCCTTATCTCGGTGAACGAATTGCTTGGACTCATTTGTGAAGAACAATTTTATTACCATTTCAGAGTTATGTGGATTCGGACCCGGTTCTCAGAGCCCATCGTGAAAGATGTAAAGCTTTTCAGTTCAGTTATGGGGAACTGAAATAACTAAGATAGCATTCTTGGCTGAAACTGGAAGTTCTAAAAGTCTCCAATTCACAAATGTTATCAACTGACTTTGTTTATCTATGCCATTATATGGTTTCAGCGTAAATCGGAATAAAAGTTGCACGTCTCTTCACACGAAGTTGTCACGAAAGTATGTACCTGGTTCAAAATTTCCTCTGTGCAACACACATTCTCAAATAATCACCGGGGTGGCGGCCATGCGATTTATAAGCGGGCACCGGAAAAATAGATCGCTCATTTCTTGCAATCCCTTTGTAAAAATTTGGAAAAATCTTGGCTGTTTTTTTAGACGAACTTTCAGAGGACCATTGCTGCTTTTTTCATAGATTACTTGCGGCGCAGAGTCGCATTCTCGCTTACTTTTCACCAGAATGTGCAAAATCGTTAGGGGGCCGCACGGTCATTTGTGAAGGACCGCACATTCCGTTGGTACCTTTCACTGAGAGAGTACCCCAAACTTAGGTCTTGAACTGCAGTGACACCTTTGCCATTCGGAGTGCTACCTCTGTACGGCGTACATCCGAAAATTACCCGTTCCTTGCGTTCGCTGAAAGTTTGTAATTCTGTTTACTGCCCGTTGGCAGAACATGCGACAGTGAAGGAAGTACCGCTCGCTAAAGTTTCGGCTACATTTTGGCTGATCGCTTGCAAGAAAGCTCGAGTACGCGGCGCACCTGCCTCGGCGATTTTCTGAATTAAACGCAGCGTTCATTCAAAATCCATCCCAACCAAGTAAGCACATAGTTATGAAGCGGAGCTCAGCAGTATCCGATCTGCGTTGGTCCAATTCTTTGACGTAGCCTCTGAAAGGAGTTACGGGCCTGTGATAGGTATCACAGACCGCCCCTCACATCACACAACTCCCCCTGAGGACGAGTGCTCACGCAAGTGCTCAGCTCCTCTCCGCTGGCAAGCCGAGGAAGATGAACAATCCGAAACTCGTCTGCGCACTTAAATCAGGGTCCCTAGAAATCGGGGTTTTCTAAGGGTTCTAAACAGTTTGAACTTTATAAGTTGTGATTACGATTACGGAAAGTTCCCTGTATGACAAAAACATGGGAGGCGAAATTTTGGGTGGAGCTACCTTGAAGGTGTTGTTTGTATCAAACGAGCTATGTAGATTGCTGCTAGCTTTAAATAATAGGAACTTATTGAAGTATTAGGTTGCCCCGATATCAAACCATTTTTTCGAATGAATAACACTGCTTTCTTTCTAGCAGACTTTGAGTAATGTTCGATAGAGCAAAGGAAGCTCTAGGAAATTATTCCAAACATCCACTCAAGTTGTAATCTAGATAAAGTTTGGAGCGAAAACTAAAATTCCCAAAGTAACCTTCGAATCGGATCCCCTTTCAAGATATTCTCATGGATCTCTAATATAGTGGGACACATATAGGGCTTATCAATTTGAGTGTCGTTTGCACCAGCATCTCCATCTTCGCGCTGGGCTCTCGTCTCTTCTGCGGTACATGCTCCCTAATCACTTCCAATTGATTGCTGCTCCGCCTTTCCCACGCTCGCCCTGGGGAAGTGCTCAGAAAGCAGCCCTGCGGAAGAGACGCAGAGTCAAGCGCGAAGATGGAGATGCCAGTGCAAAAGATACATTTGCTGGTTTTCCGCGGCTGAAACGCAAAATTGTCACATTTTTCGTTTTTTTTATGTCGAACTTGATCTTACCTTATAGAGCACGTACAAGTATTTCTAGACTACACTCATTAAGGCTTGCAGTATACAATCCCATGTATGGGATTGAGGCGGGGGGGGGGGGGAAGGGACGGAGTTAAGCAATTTGAAGCATCTTCTTATTTTTGATTTCTTGGAGCGAAAACAATTCAGCAAATGCATTTATGAATACACTATAAATATGAGCAGCAAAAAACAAAAAAAGCACTTGCAGGCGATAAAATTTTTTTCGAATTTGGCTCTAAACTTTCCCTGGGCGATTTCCAATTTTGTAAAGCTTGCTTTGCTTTATCGAACACTGCCTTAAGTCTGCTAGAAAACAATTTGATCTATCAAAAACAATTTGATCTATTCAAATGAGGGTTTTTGCGACACTTTTGAACATACTTGAGATCACCTCCTGACCAACTTCAAAAGTGCTGACATTTGATAGTAACTGTCGAATCAACGATGTCTAGTTTAGAATAAGCACCAGAAACTATTCACTTTAACGGGAAGGCCTCATACGCGAATTCGTTCGCCATTAAGAAAAGCTCGGAAAAAAACTCAATAACCTGCTGCAGAAACTGTATTCAAAAAGAAAAACAAAATGTATAGTCTGTGTTAACTATAAATCTTATCACCAAGCAAATTTCACGACTTTTACTCGGAAAAAGAAACACTATCAGACCGAGCACTCAAAAACATTTCAAGAATTTTTGAGCTGTCCTTCACGCTGCAACCTATAACATTTTATTACTTTATATATGCATGGCGTTCTGCTATGTCGCCCAAAATCTCACGTAGATTTCTAGCTATTATTATTCTCAAGGGTTTGAATGCCATTCTAGCAATAAAAGCTTGTATTCACAACATGCACCCCCCCCCCCTTCTCTTACCTTACAGTGAACAATTTCAATGAGAATCTGCAGCAAGAGTAAAGCAACCAAAGGTCCATCAATCACCATCGATCTTGTGGCTTTGCCATCAGTGTTAAGTGATTTAGAGCCAGGCGGATGATCAAAGCTTTGGTTGAGGACAGTTGGCCGCTAGAAACAGGTGTTCACGATGAAAGCTAAGTGCCCTTTGACTGGAGCGAAAAGATTTTTATCTTAAAGTCGTTGGGATAGTTGGCTATGAGAAAATGTTTGTAAATTTTTGAATAATAGAATTTGTTAAAAAGTAAGGGAAGCTTTCTGAAAAGAAGATGCGTTGATGTTGCGAAAGGGAAACTCAGCAATCTACTCTTATTTTGATTGCGAAGATTACAAATCAGTAATATCAACTCAGTAACATGAACGTGTGCTGCTCGATTCATAACCTCATACTTCTTCAGTAAAGCATTGGAAACATCCAAGGAAAATAGAGTTCAAGTCACTTACTATCATGGCGAATAAACTCACAACGCAGCTGATTTGGTATGAAAACGGCAAGAACTTAGATTTTTTGACATCTCCATAAAAAAACACTTGAATTTCAGAAAAAGAGACCTTAGAACAACTTCAAACACAATTGCAAGCAAACAGTACCAATAAAAAAATTTTAATTAATAAAAATAATGATTCTTGTTTGTCTACCATGATCGAAGACATTCGGAGTTTTCACAAGAAACTTCGTTGCGTTTCGTTACACATCGAGCTGTGCACACATGAATTTGATTACGATTTATTTCTATTTTACATAATGATTTCAATGACTTGACTCAACTCCATATGTACATAAATATATTTTGGAAAGTCATCTGTACATTTTATTCCAAATGAAAAAAAAAACTAGACGTTTCTCCCTAACGTAGTAGGATCTGCAAAATGATATAAACAAAATATGAACGGTACAGTTGTTCAATTAACGAATAATCTTTATCAATTCAAACAACATATACAGATATGACCAGATAACTGCGTGAAGTAAAGGTAGGTATTATACTGGGATAAAGAAACTCAGCAGACTTGTTTTGTTAGATTCAGATTATAAAAGTATCACATTTTGAGGAATTCCTTGATCAATAAGAAAAGATTGAAGAAGGTAGCTTAGAGAGATTTTCTTTACATAAAGTAGAAGAAGATAGCAGCACCGACATAAGAAACTGTAACGTTACTGTACATCATTTTCTACCCAGTTGTAGGCAAAAGTCTGACTTCAGAAATGAAATTTATCAAGCGCGGAAGTGCCAACATTTTAACAATCAGATAGGATCTCGATGACCTCAGCCTGGATGGAGCTTCTGTTGGATATCAGCCGCATCTGAAGAGAGCAAGGTCCTTCTCCTATTTGCTTGCCGTGCTTGTCTTGTCACTCCAACTAAAAAAAGCCAAAAGTTCAAAAAATCTGATAATTTCTCAATTTCTTATGAGATCCGAAGTTCTGACTCAAATTTGGACATTTATCTGAAGACTCTTGACATCGTGACACTGACTGATGGTCTTTCTCACAAACTTTCGCAGTTACGATAATGCGGTAGGAAAAGGAAGCGGAGACTGAACGACATTGCGTCTTATCAATACAGTACACGTATAGAGGAGAGAGCGAACGACTGGAGGGATGAAAGAGCTTTCAATTGGAAAGGCGCCGACGTATCCGTAGTGGCGTCCTGTCTCTGCGCGCCGGGAATCGGTTATAACTACATCTAATTAGTGTGCATGCTGAGCTTTTCTGATTAGCTCATTCCCCTAAAAGATTTTGCTGTAAATCGGAATATTTCGAGGCTGACGATGCCGAAGTCTACCCCCTGCAAATTTGACGCCTTGACAGCTACCGTATACCTAGTTTTAGTTTAGCGAACTGTATACAACGTAAAAAAAGATTACCACTGTTGACACTGGCATTGTAGGCGTCTGTCTCAGCCTTCCACAAAATACCCTTCTTTGTAGTGATCGCAGCGCCATATGAAGGATCCCCTGCACGATCATTTTACAAAGCATAGTTCCGCCTCCCTCCATCACCCTAAGGGAGCTGCTTTGTGATGCTTCTGGCCTAAAACCGAGAATAACATGTACCATTTCAAGGTCTCATAAATGACTTACCTATCGGATTGACTGTCCATCCTGTCTGATGAGCACCATAAACAGCAGATATCATACTGATCCCAGTCCAGAGTCACGTCCGGGGCTTGTAGAAGAGTTTGAGGAGATATAATGGTAGAGTCGCGTCTGCGGTACCGTACCACCGGAACGGAAATTGTGAGGCACGACGATAGACGATCGTAAGCCGATTGACGACGTTGACTCGAGCGGCGATGTCGTCGTTGCTTCTGATTTTGGTGAAGACGAGAGCCAATAGGCAAGTGGACGAGTATGTTCCCAAGGTAGGTCGTACCTGGAAAGCAGAAAGGTATGGGCTCAAAAAATGTCTGTGGGTACAAACTAAAAGGCATTTGGGCATCTAGCGCAAAGCTTTACTATCCTGTTTACCTATTCTCTTCCTTAGCTATCCCACAAGGCGCAGGAGAAAATGGCTGATAGCGAGGTTTGACAGCAACTTGGCGACTAGTCCTAGAAAAAATTCAACATGCATATTTTCCAACAAAAACTTATAATATGTACAAACCTCTTCTGCCTCAAAAATGCAATCAGTACGAAAGCAAAGCCTAACGATGCCAGTATGGCAATGATTGCCAGTATCAACATGGTCGCAGGCACAAGATCTTGACCCAGCTGCATTAGGACTGAAGTCGAAAAGGCAGAGAGCTCTTCTGGCATCTGCAATATTCGAATTTTTTACAACTAGAAAGGCATTCATCGCGTTGGGACTGAACACAGGGGGGTGGGTAGTAATTTACCACCAAACTTGGGGTCGTAGTGGGTGACTAGTTAGGTTATTCTCAACCCACTGACGACGATGCCTAATGTTGCGTGGTGGTGCTGTGGTACGACGCGATTTTGCACAACACTTTCGGTGTGGGAGAGTTTCGTGATTTTAAACGACGAAACTGTTTTGTAAACAAGTACAGTCATCTACTTGGACGACGAAATCTACAGGTTCCAAAAGTGCAAAAAAAATTGGAAAAAATACTGAACTTTGGAAGAAATACTAGACCTGAAAAGGATATGGTTTTGCGAGGGGTGTGGCCACCGATGGTCCACATCGTCGTCAACGGGTTAATGATGCATACAAAGTAGCTAATGTTTTACAAGTGTGCGATGTGAGAGTGAGACTAATTAAGCATGAAGTTTCAAAAAAATCGAATTTTTTCATTACTTAGAGTCAAATACACAGGCTAAGCCCCGTAGATTTTTTGAAGTATATGATGCAACTGCGGTGGTGGCAACATTTGATCGTGAATTTGGGTAAGGGCGCAAATATGTTTATGCTGCCTATGACCATTTTATACGGGGAGACATCACGTCACCTCAAATTCACATGTATACGATTGCGCATGTTCAATTATATATTTTTGTTAAAAAAATATAATAAAATCACTGTCATGACAATTTCGCAACCCTAACTACCGCCGACACCCCGGAGGCGTTACATAAAATGTGGGGATTTGATAGGCTGCAGAAAAGCAAAGAATATTGTTACTCAGCGAATCTACGACAATTTATATGTAGAACTTCCTAAACTTACCCTTTGTTCAACGATGGTCACATCAGATGGATCAGGGCACCATGGACATCGATCCGTATGCTTCTGCACAGCCAAAGTGACGTTGAAGCATTTGGCTCGGATCTCTACCAACTTTTTACCCAACTCTTCTTCCGGCGTCGCAATGGTAGTCACGTCCTGATGGCGTCGAATCCGGCCCTGTAACTCTTGGTCATCGCACCATAACTTCCTCTACCAACAAAGGACTTCATTGCGCAAGGGCAGCTGCCGTGGATTACGGGTAACAGTGATTAATGGTCTGAGCAAAAACTCACATTTGTTTCCTCTTGGAAGACACGGATAGAAGCTGTCTGATCACATACACGCGGAAAGCCATAGGTGGGATCGGTGCCGACAACTTGGCACGAAAGTGCCAAATCTTCTGGTTTACCCTTTGCCCAGTGGGAAACGAACGAGCGCGAGGCTTCCTTGAAAAATTTCAATACGAGAAGAAAAGAACTCCATAAAATTCAAAAACATTTTTGTAAGACACTTACACCTGTTGTGTCCTAGAAAATGAGCTAAATTACAAAACAGTATCATGCTTTAATTGCTACTTTTTCAAGAAAATCTATATTTTTGGACGATATTGGTCGTTTGGTAATCTGGACTTTGTACGGTGCTTATCTATGACACTAGGACATATAATACTTACAGAAGTTCACTACTGTAGCAAAAAGAGTTCGGCTGCTTCTCATTTGACTTTTTTGCTACTTTTAGGTTGAAGCTCTCTCGTACCAAAACTTAAAATCTTGTTTGAAACTAATGAGGAAGCTGGTTCTGGTACATCGTAATACATTCTTTTATTTTGAGTAAGTTTCACATATATTTTGACTGGAAAATCATAAACTCAAATCGTGAATCTTCTTTATAGATTTTCTCCAATGGATCGTTTCTTCAAACTAGACCTTAAAAATAAAGTACTCAGTTTTCGCAACCTTCACGCATTTTTTAACCAAATAATGTATCTTCGTAATACGGCAACTACAATTTTCCATTAACCACCCCGAAAAATTGATTCCTTCTTTCAAAATTCGATCAAACTGAGTGACCTTATTGGAATTGGAGAATACCACATTTCCAGAAATTTTGTTCGACATAGGTTTCAGAGCAACTAACTAAATTCGTGCGTGAATAGCACAAAAGATCATGGATGCGCAGCAAAAAAATAGAACATTGGTCATCTCAGTAAGCGGGGAATACTGTGATGAAAAAATTAGTAAAATATCTTTTAGATCAGTTTACTATAGTCCAAGGCTTAGAAGACAGATTTGAAGGTAATTTTACCAGATGTAAGTTAATCAGAAGAGTTATAATGAAAAACTCACCTGAACAAAATGCTCGAAGACTGGCCAGCTGATAGAGATCCTTTCGTTTAGTGGAAGCATATCTTTCAAAACCTGAAGGCCCAAATTAAAGAAATTAAGAATTTTCTCGTATAATCACCTTGAATCTGGGTTGAGAGCAACCAGCCGTGGTCAAACATCCTTCTCTCCAATCCACTTGTAACAGCTCGGCGGTCATCCAGAATGAGTCCACCATAGACACAAGGAACAGAATCAGTATTGGCAACATCTGCAAATTGTAAATAGGAAAATGGATTGAACTGTTCTACGATGAGTAGCAAGCGGAAAGTAACAGAAATCATTCTTAATAGCTCAATCTGCAATCTACAAGGGGGTGGAGCCGTGACGAATGGCTTAGAGGCACCGCCCTCGCCGATGTTCTCTCACTTAATTATAGATGCACCAGACGCGGGAAAAGCTTAATCCGTGAATAATTATTGAGTCAGGTCAAAGGAAAACAGCATATTATTAATGAGTACAAAAGCGATACGGATCGATTTAATCCGGAGAGAACATTAATAATTTGGACCATCCAGGAGATTCATTGTAGCAAATTGCGCGATAGCTATCTTTAGCGATGTTCATTGAGCTCAAGAAACTTGCTTGAGCTCAAAAAATTTTCTACAAGAAAATGGTCGTACGAAATAATGCGATATTTCAGTTGTTTATATACGTTGGCGCAAAAGTGGTCAGCCCTATTTATTGGTAAGTACAATCTGTCAACTTTGTTACCGCAAAGACGAGTTTGAATTATTTGAAAATAAGCATTATCGAAGTTCCAAATGGGCAGCTGATTATTGCACTCCGCATTCATCGCTAGTAAGCACAACGAATTGGGGTGAAACTTTTATCGCAATTGGAAAATAGGCAGAATTATTGCGCAACCACAGAGAACGAGCTGACGGAGCTTCGCTTTGTGCTCACATTTGGATAAATATTCAAATAATTATATCTCGATACTTTGTTCTATAGGAGAAGAATTTTCAAGAGGCTGATTACTGGAAAATCAGCAAAATCTTCTATCTTGGTGCATGCGCATGATTGAGTATGAGAATTTGTCCTTATAAGGTTTTTTGGTGAAACAAACGATGAAAATATAACCAGCTACGCACATTCCCTGGGCACTGAACAGCGGAAAAACAGGAAAGAAAAAAGCTCCAAAACTAGAGCTTCAAAGCAGTATGGCTAGAAGAGAATTTCTTGAAAATAGTTTTACCGATAAGCTACTTAGATTGCAAGAAACTTTGAGATACACTAGACCATGGCTTAGCCGCGAAGAGGCACTTCACAGTGAGCTTTGCGCCACAAACAAATGCTCTGGATCAACAGATTTTCGAGAGCTCGTCCACTCCATCATTATTTTTTGGCTTCACCTGGCCAACAATTGAAAGGCTACTATCACTGCCTAACTACTTATGTAGAGATAGAGAAGGTCAAAGCGGCCTACCAAAAGCGACGCACACGACCGTAATCCGCAAGAATAACATTGCTCACATGCGATAACGACACTTGTGGGAATAACAAAGTTCATCAAAGCTGTTCCCAAGCTTAACTAATCTCTTATTTGCACACGTTTGCAAAGTAGCAAAGAATATATTTTGAGCAATTCGATTTAATTAAAGGCGTTCAAGTGCACCTAGATTGGTAAAAATAGAAGCATTCGCAATAAAATTATAAGACGCTGCAGACACACAACTGTGTAAAAAGGCTCGCTGAAAAAAATCAATTTTCATGGATTAAAAGTAAAAATTCACCGCTTACACTTTAGGCAAAAATGTAAATTTTGAAAAGTGTTGCTTCATTTTCCGGATTCAAAAGAGGATTTGGGAAAGAGTTGCGCCCAGCCGTTGACTAGAATATGATGCACATTGGCTCAAAAATTAACGTCAATTTTTCGGAATATTTACAAATTCAAAGGCCGCTGTCAAATGCTAGAGCTATAAAAATCTCGCAACAGATCGCCTGGACTGTTTAGATAAGACAATTTATTTCAGAGAGAAACAGATGCCTGTCGGCACTGCTTGCACTGGCTGTGCCATGTCGTTGTGGATGTTTTTCCTGATAAATGGTTTGTCGTAACTTTACATTGAATAAAAAAACCGAGGCCGTTTCTTTGCAAAGCAGGATGAGGACGTACAGAAACAAAGAATGGTGTCGCAAAAAATAAACTTGAGTTTGTAGAATTGAAGGCACACATATGCAAATTTAACATCAAATAATATTTGTGTAGCTCAATAAATGCCAGCCTTTTTTTTTTGAAGCCTCTATTGTTGAATATCAACACAGTCCAAATCGCACCAGGTTGGCAAGAATTCTGGACATGGTGTAAGCAGGAGTAAACGGTCTGCTGTGACATATTCAAAAGACCTAGCAGATTATTCACAAATACACAAAGTCTAAGATTCCTAAAACCTTCAAAAGAAGACAAAGTTCTAGTTTTCTGGAGTTTGCTTTTTCAGTTTTTTCAGTTCCACTCAAAGTTTTTTAGTGAGGACTCCAATAAAACTCTGACAATTTTTTCATCTTTGTCCAATGTAATTTTAATGTAAGGCAGGAGTTCTGCAGTTGCACTGCACTCGAGATCTTTCCAATGGGTGCGTGGCGTTAGGTACCCAGCCGAGTTGCGGGCGATAGGTACCCAGCTATTAGTAGTAAACACTAGGCCACGCCCCTTTTTCCAATTTCATTTCCAGCGCTTGAATTTTGCGCTGTGTTTTCGAGCTTACAAGAGAATGGTCAGAAATCGAAGTAGCCAAACCAGACAAGCTGCACACCGTTAGATGCAGCATTAAGCGCTGAGTCCAAATCTGTCTTCCTTATCTGCTTATCGCTTTTCTGAACGAAGCTATAAGTAATCAAATGCCATTATTTTGCTAAGAAATTATGCGTGGAAGTAAAGATTTGGCCGCACAGAGCCACGTTCGGCTGGGGGGCGGGCGTTAGGTACCCAGCCGAGGTTCGGGCGTTAGGTATCCAGCTATTAGTGGTATACACTAAGCCATGCCCCTTGGTTGCTTTAACAGCGGGTACCTAACGATACACCGAATCACAGCTGCTAGAACAGCTCAACTTGCTCGCCAAAGCGTTGGCACTTGTGACCCACAGAAAAAAAAATAGTTCGAGGAAATCAAAAAAAAATTGCGCGAATGAAAGCACAAGTTTGTATACAAAGTTTTTTCTAATGCTTCTTTTTTTAACCAACTTTAGAACACAGAATGTCGGTGATGAAAGTTAAAAACAGGGTTAAGCTTTCATGAGCACTTCATAAAATTTCAGAAATTGTGATAATATGATGTCAACGGGAATTTCAAAAAGTAAACTTTGCAGAATTTCAACAAACCAAAATTGTATGATTCCAATGAAGCAAAGCGCAATTTCGGAGATGCTCCTCGCAAATAAGTTGCAGGGAATATTTTTTATCTATATTGTCGTCGCCTCTTTTGAGGTATGGAAGTTAAGGGTCGTAACCTTTGCGTTAATACTGCCACAGGGACTGTGAAGTACATTATCGTAGATTATTAAGGCCATTACTTCGGTCACTGCTGGGGCCAACAGATTTATGGGACATTACATTGACACACATTTTTTCTTTATTTTGGGAGAATTTACATTCCGTATAAAAATTTCATTCAGCTACTATAGTCTATTATGCCTATGTTTTCTGTAGAGGACTTTTTTTGGAGGACTTTCATATTGCAATTGTTTCATATTCCTTCTCTTTTATAACAACCAAAGTATGATTAATTTGTCTAACTAAAGCTATGAGTTTTTTTGTAACTCGCTGAAAAGCGAAAGATTTCGTCAGTAACTGCTCTCAGTAAAGTTTCTTTATGCTTTCTGTTTCATTCTATTGTCACACACTCATCCGAAATTGGGATAGCTTTATAACGTAAAGTTTTCATTGATTTGAACAGATCTAGTGCCCTACCTATAAATTAATGGGTCACATACTCCTCCATAAAGTTCCGGACAAGTTCTCGTCGAAGCTTTTCTGCCAATCGGTTTCACTTCCCATTGTCAAAAATATATTTGAAGCAGTCACTTGAGGCTAAGGAATCTTTCTTGTAATTTGTTTGCCAGGGGCATCTCCGAAAGTGCGTTTTGCTTCATTAGAATTACTTTTGGTTTATTTGAAATCTGCAAAGTTAACTTTTTTGAAATTCGCGCTGACATTATCGGTTAGATCAGATTCACAAACTCTTTTGCAAAGCTTTATGAAGCGCTCATAAAAGCTTTACCCTTCTTTCAAATTTCATCACCAAATTTCTGTGATTCTAAAATTGTTTAAAAAACAAGCAATAAAAAACGCCTGTACAATGCGCTTTTATTCCCGCAATTTTTCTTTTTGGATATCCTCCAACAATCTTTTTTTATGTGGGTCGCGAGCGCCAGAGCTTTAGCGAGCAAGGTGAGCTGTTCCAGCAGCTGTGGTTTGGTGTATCATTAGGTACCCGCTGTTAAAGCAACCAAGGGGCGTGGCTTAGTGTATACCACTAATAGCTGGGTACCTAACGCCCGCACCTCGGCTGGGTACCTAACGCCCGCCCCCCTTTCCAATGCCATTAAAGTCTTAACGTGTTCTTTTCCCAACTAAGATTTATAAAAATTTTGTTTTGATGAGCATTTTGGCTCATCCGCAAGCAATATTTTCTTGAAATTTTGCCTGCTGCTCGTTGTTATCAAAAGTATAAAGTATGCGGAAGCGAGATATTTGGGTCTTGTACATATTAGTGAATGTGAGAATTATTGTTAGGAATGAACGAAGATTTGCGACAATGTATGTATTCAAGAGAACACCAAAGGAATTATTCAATGTGGAAAAACTCTTCAAAATATTGCTGTCGCCAGCACATTAGAGAGGAAGTATAAGAAACAGACTTCGCGATCCCCTAGTGATAGAACTGCTTGGTTAGATTTTAGGTTAGATTTTTAAGAAAGATTTCTGATGTTGTAATGCAGCCAAATAATGATGGCTGCTATCGACATACACTGTTTACTACTAGTATCATCTTACAAGTGTCAGTGCATGGCACTGCTGCCGCGAGCAACGCCTAATCATAGCCACATTTCGTCTTGGTTTGAAGGCTGTAAGGTCTCTCCTAAAAATGTTAGCAAAGGTTCTATTTTCTATTTAAAGAATTCTTAAAGAAAAGTTATTCAGTTATTAGAAAAAGTTATTAGAAGAGTTATTAAAAGCTATTAGAAGCGAAGTTATTCGATTTTAGCCGT